ATATAAATATATATATATATATTATATTGTTTACGCCAGATGTAAAATAGCCAGACCAAGGACGGGGAGCAAGTGACATGTGGGGATGATGTGGATCTGCTATCACTTATCCGCCAAAGCGTGGTATCTATTTAAATTCTCTCTACAATGAAAGAGTCCTATGTCCGTTGGTATTTTAAGGGCCTGTTAAACAGAAGATGAATTTTGATTAGTACCCAGTAGTTTACATGAAAGTATGCCGATAACGCATCGACAACTTTCGGATAGATGCGTTAAATCAAGAAGTACTGAAAGTTATGCGTAACTCATAAATAAAGTAATTTATATGTAAACGGCGCGATGCAGCCGCAGAAGAAATAATTGTAGAAATATCGTTTTAAATTTGTTAGTTAGTTATATTGTTTAATTAGGAATACGTTCATTGAAGTTGAATGATATATTACTTTCAAATATATTTGTCGGTACGATAGGCGGACCACCTACTGTAAGTTATGTGTATTATGTCTATAACCTTCACGCAAGTGCAAGAAATAAATTGACAAAGTTTTAACGCAATCTCATAAACGGTATGGCACCGCATAAAATATGAACAAACAAATATTAATTTTTATATATTAGACTAACATATTTCCTGCTTATCAAAGTATTCTCCATTACAGTACCAAAAACTTTCGTTTGTTCAAACCATTTTTGAAATCCTAATGAACATTCGAAAGCTATCACGGGCTATATATATCTACCTCCGTAAATGCCAAACCTATTATCAAATCTTTCATTTTTGGGAAAATAAAGAAATCGCATAGTGCAAGGTCTGTACTGTGTGCGGGAAGGGTTACGAGCTCCTCCTTTCAGAACCAAAAAATGACTTTGTTTTGTGCGCGCCGAAGCAATGTCATGGTGCAATAAAATGGTCTTGGTCGCTTTTCCCCTTAACTTTTCAAAGATACTGGGCAACAAAATGTTGGTGTACCGTTCAGCATTAACTGTCTAATGCTCATAAAGTGTGTTCGTGCACATAGGACACGTCTGGGAGAAAAAAACGCAATAATTTTTTTGCCCACGCTTCTTGCCTGCCTCAATTTTGTTGGTTTGGTATCGCCTTCGAACACCTATACAGAACACTGTTGATTTCTTTCCGGAATGCATTTATGTTTTGTCTCTTGTCACAGTAACATTTTTTTACACCAATTAACTCGAGCCTATTTTTATTCACGAAAAATCGAGCAGCAACAAAGTTATAACTTTTAAGTGTTAACATATATATTTTTTTTAATTTCACTCATACCAATACCCAAATGTCCTCGGATCTCCTCATAGATGATGCGCCGGTTTTCTTCAATTAGTCGTCTGAGAGTAGCCACATCTTCCTCAGTTGAGGTTCACGGTTGAGGGTCGACCTTCACGAATTTTATCATGGTGAGAAACACGACCCCGACTAAATATCACCGTGTGTATCCAACAGCAAGAAGTGCAATGCCCCTTTCTAACATAACTTTAAATTCCCATAAACTAAAATTATAGCTTTAGTTTTAAATAAGAGAAACCATTTTGCAAATTAATTGTATATCACTTTAGGAAGATTAGTTTATAAAATAATATTAATCAGTAAATGAAAAGTGTAAAAATGTGAAGGAAGGGGGAAATCACTTTGCAGTATCAAAAAATAGCAGCAATAGGGTACCCCTTCCTTTGCGTTACAAAATAAATAATTACTGTGATGAAAGGTTACTACTTTTATTTTTATATATTTTAATCTTGTGACACCAATGACACCAAACAAAATTAAAAAAATCGGCGCTCAAGTGATGTACTCCCCTTCTAAAGCATTTTTAAAACGAACAGAGCAAACTTGCGGTGAGAAGAAACTTGAAATCATAAAAAATCATCGCCCTGAAATCTTATTTTGTTAAGGGAGAGAATAACATAAAGCATTAAGCTGTATACGTGGTAGAGCCAAGCTGCAGCTATATATCTGGTATAGTTGTATCACGAATGCTTCGGCTCGACCGGGGTCTCTCTCACAGAATACAGGCGCAAAATAGCAGCGTAACGCTGCTGTGTTTCTTATGGTGAGTGAAGAGAACTGGAGACCCTTTATACTGAAAACGACGCATTCTATCTTAGTCCTCACAATCATCTGTATTTTGATTCGTGATCAAGAATAGATGTATATGTCTATGGGCCACAGCAACTACTTATCATCAGGTGGACTGTGTGCTAGTTTGTCACCCTTATACTATAAAAAAGTCTGCCCATTGTAATCCCTTTTAATAAGGTGTACAATAAAGTGTAAATAAATAATTTAATTATTGCTACATATAACGAACTTCAACTTGTAATAAAAAAAACAATAGACACGCGATTTCCCCGTAAAATTATTTAATCAATTTATGAGTTTCATAAGTTTAAAAGAATATAACATTCGAAATTGAAACATTTATGAGCGGCTAGGAGCGGAGAAGTTTCCTAGTACCCTATTTACAATATTATATCCACAAAAGTTTTTTTACTTAAAAATAAATGATTCGCCAACACGCACTGGACTGTGTACAGCGCGGGGACGGTTATAAAGAATGAATTTACTTTTTAAATTTTACCTAATTGATAAAATGTACCAATGACCGATAACGTTCAGGCTCAAGATTTTATTCATAACTAGCTGTTCGCCGCGACTACGCCCACGTGAAATTTATTGCGTTTGGATTTCATGGGTTTTAATTTCTTTGCGCGGAACACTAATTATTTTCCTAAAATAAAAGTAGCCTAAGTTACTCCTGACAACATCAGCTATCTACCAGTGAAAGTCCCATCCAAATCGGTTCACAGGTTTTTGCGTGATGTGTGTGCAGACGGACGTCGTGTTATAGTTTTACTATAGTAAAAGGTAGATAGATAGATAGATGAGGAGGGATAGTTACGGGATAAAAATTCATTTTATTTATATTATAACATGTTCATATCATAGAAGACATATTTGTGAGATCTTTTGTTCTAAGCTCTGGTAGATTTTGGTATAAATTTTAAAAGGTGTAAGTAGATTTAAACAGTACCTCTATTTTAGTAATATATCTCCTAAACATTAAATACTATTGGATAATGTGTGGGTAGTTAATCAATAAGGAATTAATTCGTGCTTGTTAACATGTACTGGTCAACTAAATCCCATCGTAGTGTCTTACGTATTTGCTTACGTTATCGATTTCAATTGCGTGTTAGCTATTTCGTTAGAAATGGCTATAATGTAATACATATTATGTAACTTGAACCAGTTTATAACATTAAATATTCTTATAGAAAAGCCACTTATTGACCGAGTGTTAAATACTTTTAACCACAGCTATATAATTATTTTTTGAAAAACGCCTCTTATTATAGGTCTGTTAAGCTGGAATGGTTATTTGGGCAAAACCACTTAATTTTTTTGCTAAATATTTAGTGCTAATTTAGTGCTACAAATTTAAATTTCACGCCAAAATAGCTTGATAAATTAGAAAACTGCTAACTTTTAATTAAGCTAAATGAGCACAAAATTATTGATGCTTCTATTTGGTTCTGTATTAAGCTGTTATCATTTTAATAGGTAGAACACTTTTAACTTTACACAGCTTTTAATTAAGCTAGCAGTTTTCTAATTTTTTGTCAAGCTATTTTGGCGTGAAATTTAAATTTGTAGCACTAAATTAGCACTAAATGAGCACTAAATATTTAGCAAAAATTTAAGTGATTTTGCCCAAATGACCACTCCAGCTTAACAGACCTTCTTATTATGTCAATAATGGATTTGATAATAAATTATTTAAATAGGTGGTACTAAAATGGTTGACTAGGACGCATTTTTACTAGATGATAGGACAACTTCTCTGCATAGTCCTTTTAGATACTTATACTTAACCTATTAGAGAAATTAAAAATATTTCGAGAATATCTATAAACCTTACCAAGTACGTATTGGGGCAGCGTAGAGACCATAACATTGCCTCCTCCATCCTTGACATTAAGAATCTAATAATCTGGTGGGATGTTTCACCAACACGCCGTCTTACTTAAAAAATAAGTCCCGCTGGGTTTCTTGCTGGTTCTTCCCAGGACAGAGGTTTTTTTTCGAACCAGTGGTAAAGTAAAAAATGACTCAATAAGAATTACACATGTGATCTATATTGAATAAAAAATTATTCTATTCTATTCTATTCTACGAATATGTATCATAACCCGCGTTGCGAAGAATTATTTTATGAATAACTGACACTAAAATTTACCTCAAAGTTTGAGTTGTTTGCTTCCCAATCCTACGTGATGCGCTGGTGCCATAGATCCCATTTCAAACTGTTATTTTGGTTGTTCTGAGTAAGTGACGGCTTCTATTATTAAATAACAAACAATTTAAAATTAACTACAAGCTATGTTATGATTATAGCAAGCTATGTGTAGCTATGTATTGTATAGACATTCTTACTACGTCATTACTATAATATCATGATGAACAAGGTTATTCGAAAACTGATAAATATTGATTTTTTTTTTATTTTAAATGGCAGTAATTTCTTGATTGATTGTCATTTATGATAAAAAAATTGAAATCGAGTGTTTTTATAGCATTCTAGTAGAGGTTTTTTTGTCGTAGTTGGATCATCACTAATGCGATGGAATTATAGATGGACAACTTACGTCTCGATGACACGAGGAAATAAATCTAAATTAAAAAAAATATAATTTAAAAGTTTAATTTACAATCTGTATATTACGACCTGTTGTCTGGTATAGATGCGTGTTTGGAGGCTTCACAACTTCATACTTTTTTAATTTCCCAGAAATGCAAGTTTCCTCTCATTTTCCAATCATCCCTTAAAATTGCAAGTAACAGTTTCATGGTTACCGGTGTGGATCGAACCCGGGCAGCAGGTGTACTGTGAAATTTGCAACGAGCGCTAAATCTCTGAGCTACCACGGCTCTAAAATTTCTTATGACGGTCTTATTTAATGTAAATTGTTTACAATTACAGGTGATCGCCTTAATATGCGGCTTGCTGGTGATCGTGTTGATGGTGTTGGGGCTCGCGTCGGCGGACTGGCTGATGGCGGCCGGCTGGAGGCAGGGCCTCTTCATGCACTGCATAGACCCAGATGCGCCCCCGCCGCTGCCCTTCGACATCATCGCGCAGCCCGGTTGCTACGCTGCGAGACCCGCTCCATACATTAAGTAATGTTATATCATTTTTTGTGCTATATACACTATATTTTAAGAAATTTAAATTATGCTTTGTTAGTTTATATGTAGATAAGTATTATTCATCTTAGAACTCTTTTGCTGGTTGTTTGCGTGATGCACTGCAGCCAATTTTTATACATCTGAATTTTACATCTGAACTATTATATTTACTACAAAAATGTTTAGAGATTTTGTTATTAAATAAGCGGCCTTACATAGGTACATGATTACTGTTTATAATTAAGATCTGATATATTTGTAAACAATCAATTAGCACTCAACAATTAATAATTAAAAATTAAAAATTTTGTACTGCCGACTTCAATATAAGTTATTAAAAATAACTCAAAAACTATTGGTCCGACTTTGATCAAATTCATATGGGACTACACGAGTAGTACCAGTTTTCAAATAAAAAAAAGAATCATTGAAATCGGTTCACCCAGTAAAGAGTTATGAGGTAACACACATAACAACAAAGTCTCCTGTTTGGAAGTCGGCAGAAAATAACAAATAACTGCGGTGGTGGACGATGACGTGATTTGGTAATATTTTTTGATTTATGTAGATTAAGGGTGACAAACGAGTAATGTCCACCTGATGGTAAGTGGGTGTTGTGGTCCATAGACGGAAGCGTTGTCACCCCTGAGAACTAAGATGGATAGGCTCGTTTTCAGTAAGAAGAGTCTCTGGTTTTCTATACTCACCATACGAAACTCAGCAGCATTAAGCTGCTATTTTACGCTGGTATTCTGTGAGAGCGTGGTATCTGCCCCGGTCAAGCCGACCCATTCGTGCTACAACCATAATATAGCAGCAGCTTGGCTCTACCACGTAAACTTGTTAGGATACCACCTACCAGTGTGCTTTTGATAGGCTGTGATTTTGATGATGATGATGGTGGTGAATAGGTAGGTTCTGGCTCTACCACGTAAACTTCTTAAGCTATCATTGTACTTTTGATAGGCTGTGATGTTAATGATGATGATGATGATGATAATGATGATAGTGAATACGTGTGTTGTGGCGACAGGGCAGCAGCGGGGCTGTGCGTGGCGACGCTGGCTGCGGACGTGTGCGGCGCGCTGCTCACGGCGCTCGGCCTGCGCTCCACCGACCACCGCACCAAGTTTCGCTACTATCGGTTCGCGGTGCTCGCCATGGCGCTAGCTCGTATGTACCTTGTAGCTTCACATTTTATGCCTACAATTTTGGAAAAAAAAATTTCGACCTTGTCCATTTATAGAGACAAAAATAAACTTAATTAAAAGTTTCACTAAGACTTATGGCCAAATACTCAAACACTACTCAATTTTAAGATGTCGTTAAGTCTTGTTGTGTCACAGTCTGTCTCTATCACTTTGACGACTTAAAGTGACAGAGACCAAACTTAACGGCATCTTAAAATTGAGCAGGGTTTGAGTGTTTGGGCATTATATGTAAATATGTCAATATTATATTTAATTATTAAAAATCTTAATTTAAAATATCGAACAAGTTTTAAAACACTACAAAAAGTAGCCAAAATTTCTGTTGTTAATTATTGACGTCTGTCTTGTACTTTCCAGTAATGTGCATCTTAATAGCGCTGGTGATCTACCCTGTGTGTTTTGCTGCGGAATTAAATTTCGGTAAGTTATTATCACTATATAAACTAAATTATTTATTTATTATTATATTTATTTAGTTACTCATTATTGTGTACAGCACGAAAGGATTACAAAGGAGTTCAATTAGGTAGAAAACAAAAATGAATAAAATAAAATGAAAATAGTTCAAAATTACAACTAATGCGATCTAAATAACCTCGAAAAGCTAGAAGAAATTAGAGATAAAGATCTTACATCTACCCTATTTGTGTCATTGTTAGAATCCTATTAGCGGAGGAGTCTCATTGAAACATTTACTATGACGTTATAAATCGGAAGTGACATTTAGAAATAGAAGAGTGCGTATGAGAAGAATATTGTTCAGGCAGTAATGAAAATTATCAACAATTTGAAGACGAATCGTGAAATTATTCTTATCCATCAGCCTGTAAAGTCTATTGGTTCAGTTATTGTTGAGAATATTAGTCATAAGCGACATACTTCCCAACGGATTACGGCTATCTTTGATATTGCTTCCCGGCTTCGGTCCGGATATTTTACATCTTTGGCTTACATTAGATGTGATGTCATTATCACCATCTATCGGGGGCCCTGATATTTGTACAGCTATTCCCATAGCCGCCTCTTACATCCCATAGGGGAGAAATGGGGCGCAAAATGGGCGATAAACAAATACAATAGTGGCCTATTTTCATATTATATAATTAAATTGAATATTAAATATTTTTAATATATTTTTAGGGTTCCGTACGTCAAAAGGAAAAAACGGAACCCTTATAGGATCACTTTGTTGTCCGTCTGTCTGTCTGTCAAGACCCTTTTTCTCAGGAACGCATGGAGGTATCAAGCTGAAATTCATATCAAATACTCAAGTCTACTGTTCCTTGGAGCTGTGAAAAAATCAAACTTCTAAGCCAACGTAATCAAACGATACAGCCGTTTATGCCGCAAATTTTCGACATTCGCAAGGGAATCAAAACCTACGGGGTACTTCCCGTGAACTCAGAATCTTAAAATTTGGTACGAAGCAACGTATTATACCACAGATAAAGGAAAAATTGCGAAAAGCATAAATTTTTAGTTACATCATATAATAAAAATATTTTTAATAATTTTAAACTTATATACCTACGGATTTGTTCGGAACCCTCGGTGCGCGAGTCCGACTCGCACTTGGCCGGTTGTTTTATAGAATAAGGCTTACAAACGAGCACACAGTCCACATGATGGTAAGTGTATACTGTGGCACATAGACATCCACATTTATTCTCGATTAACAATCAAGAATCATATGCGTTGTCACCCCTGAGGACTGAGATGGAATTCCTCGTTTCCAGTAAAAAGGGTCTTCGGTTCTGTAAACTCACCATATTAAACACAGCAGCATTAAGCCGCTATTTTACGCTGGTATTCTGTGAGAGCGTGGTCCCACCCCGGTCGAGCCGACCAATTAGTGCTACAACCATAATATAGCTGCAACGTGATCTAACCACTCATGAAAGCTTAAAAATTCAAAAGGATTCAGTAGGCTTTAAAAATTGAATGGAACAGATTTGTTTTAAAAAATAGGTTGTTTTGTTTAAAAAAAAAACAGTTCTTAAATCCTTGTGATTATGTAATACTTGACAAAGCCTGTCATATTTTGCTCAGGTAACAGATCATTATGGGAGTTTGGATGGGCATATGGAGTGGGTTGGGGCGCCGCCATTTTTCTTTTCGGCGCAGTGGTGCTGCTGCTCTGCGATAAGGAGAGCGAGGAGCTCTACTATAAGGAGCGGAAAGTAAGTTCCATGACATAACTTACACACTGGCAGTACAAATTTGTTTCGTTATTTTATAGTGCGACAAAAAAGAGGAGCCTTTAAAAAAAGTATACACGTTCACTCTCCTGTGACCTACATATGGGTCATTGCTATTGTGTCTTGTGTTGTGTCTATGCTTACTATTGTGTCTGGAAACCGGACAGTGAAAGTGTTAAGATGCCTCTTTTATGACGCTACATTTTCATTAAGTAAACATCGCTTTATAATCGTTAATAGAGTGGGGTTGATGTTACTGTTTGTTTGCTATTTATTGTTGCCCTGGGCTTATCTTCTGTCGAACAATGTCCGTTAAATATTTACATTCAATAAGAGATAAATATCAAATTTAATTATTTTACTATTTCACGTATTACTATAAGGTAGTCTGCATGTACGCATTGCAAAGATACTTTTGTTAGTACATTTCGTATGAACACGTTTTAAAGCCACGGTAGCTCATTGGTCAGGGGCTAAGCGGTCTCTGTAAATTTCACGCATAATATCACGCTCATATTGGTATTTAATTAAAAAAATTGCTACATGAAAACAATCATAACACGATACCTAAAATCAACCTCTCCGATCGGACAGTTTTTGTTTACATATTGTGTAGAAATTTTTCTTCTTTATTCAAAAATTATTTGATTTAGAAAACTTCCGTTTGTAAATAGTTCAAAAATAGTTTAGAAAATCCAAAAGTGCAAGCCTCACGAGCGTTTCATTTAATTTCGATGAAAAAAAATTTATTCCTGACTTTTAAAATATATTATTTACGTGTTTTAAATTCAGCTCTCTATTATTTTAACAGGTAGCGTCACCTACAGGGAAAAAATAATAATGTTCATCAAAATAAATCGATCTAGGCTATTGATATGAAACAGGGAAACAATGTAATTGTGAAGCTAAAAAAAAACCCTATCTCGATACGTCACGTTTTCGGGAGTTATCGTGACCACACACAAAATCAACATCCGGACGTCCACGTAAATTTTTTTAACAATTTTTTTTCTCAAATAGCGCTATTAGCTCGTAGTAAATGATTTTTTAGAAAATATAAAAGAGGTTAATACGAGTGTTTCCTTGATATACGGCTACTCATATTAATGTATAAGTACAATATGGTTATAGAAGCATTTTAAGAACACAAAATTATTTGATCTTAACGTGTCGAGAGTAATACACTATCTAATAACGATTCGCGTTATGAGGCGTGCAATAAATAGTAAAAGGTACGAGTGGAGGTCAAAAAGTTCACGGAATGGCGGGTTTTGCGAGGGTGAGTTTACTCATCCAGGTAGGCGCAAGTTGAGTGACTCATTGTTAGTATATATACCAAGTTTCAGCCTAATCGGCTCATTAGCTTTTGAATTATCAACGAGTAAACAAGTCAATGAGGAAGAAACTAGCCACTATGGAGAAAATTGAATATCGGGCCGTCATTAAGTTTATCACCAAACAAGAAAAGACACCACAAACCATTTATCAAGAGATGTCAGCTGTTTATGGGGACTCCGCTCCTGGAAAAACTATAATTTATAAATAGCACGCCCTTTTCAAACAAGGGAGGGACTCCATTGAAGACGACCCCCGACCTGGACGGCCGATTGAGGCTACTACGCCAGAAATAATCGAAAAAGTTGAAAAACTTGTATCGGAAGATGCCCGTCTAAAGAAAAAACAGCTTGCAGCATTAGTTGGAATATCAGAAACAACGATTTTAAACATCCCACATGACACCTTGGCATGACTAAAGTCTGTGCAATATAGGTTCCGAGAATGCTTTCTGCGCATCAAAAACTCGAGCGCGTCGAAAGTTGTCATAAAATAAGCACACCCCTCTTAAGAAATATAAGGTGTCTCATTCGGCCGGAAAGATCATGGCGACGATCTTTTGGGATACGGAAGGTATCTTTTTGATTGATTATAAGAAACGTGGTGTTTCCATAACGGGAGAATACTACGCTTCTTTACTAGATCAATTAAAAGACGCTATTAAAGAAAAAAGGCGAGGAAAGCTTACAAAATGCGTGCTCCTTTTGCACGACAATACGCCCATGCATACAAGCCATGTTGCGACGGCTGCCTTTCTTCGTTGCGGTTTTGAACAACTGCGCCTCCCACCCTACAGCCCAGACCAGGACCCAAGAGACATATATTTGTTTCAAAAATGAAAAAAGAACTGCGTGGGAAAAAAATTTGGCGACCATGATGAAGTGAAGTCCTCAATTTCGGCCTATTTTGACCCACAAGACAAATCTTTTTTTTTAGACGGTATTAATAACTTATTTGACAGATCTAATAAATGTATTAGGGTTAAGGGAGAATACATTGAGAAGGAAAAATAGTTTAATGTTTCATTTCATTATCTTTCCTTGTCATTCGGCGAACTTTTTGACCTCCTTTTGTATAATGGGAAATGTACCTATACAACGTACACTGTAACGAATCGTATCGGCATCGCATACATGTGGCCGCAATATTCGATTGATATACAATCGACTAGTGTGGGTCTATAAAAAACGTAATAAAGTAAAAGTATAGTAAAATTACATCCTATGACCCTTGAGCACGGGCTTCCTCTATAATGTAACTCTATAATATAATGTTATGTATTTAGAACAAGGAAGTGTCCACCGCGCTGCCTTAATGCCTTTTGGAGGACTTTACATGTCTTCGAAATCATTTATTTATTTATTTATCAGACATACAGACTATCTCACGATGTTTTCATTCACCGTCGAGCACGTGGTAAATTGTAGTGGTGTCAGTGGGGATCGAAACTGGTTGCTATCATATTGTGAAATTTACAGCGAAAGTTTAGCTCCTTAGCTACCACGGGTTTTTCTTTGTATGATTCACAATCTTTTGTTTGCGTTTATTTTGTAGTTTCCGTATGCTCCAGTTCGGTAATTTTTAATAATTTTAGGTAAAGTATTATATAAAAAATATGTAGTTGATTTGTCATTGACTGATTGAGAAGGGTAATAATGAAGGGTAGAAATTAAGAAAATAGGCAAGGTGTATGGGGTTATATGTAGTCAACGATTGCGTGGCCTAGTGATGAAATTACCGTCAAGGTGTGCTACGTCGGTCTACTATGGACGATTGGACGGTATAGTTTCGAAACACAAATGAAACTAACATTAATTTGTGCAAAAACACTTTATGGTTTCGGGTCAGGTTGCGTTGAGATTGACCTCGTGTCCGTCACTGCATACTAGTCCATTGGCGATTTTAAAAATCTTTATATATAAAAATTACACATGGTTTGTCTGCGAACTTCTAAACTACTAAACTGATTTCAATGATATTTTGCACACTATGTGCAGTTTGGTTCAACTTGAGAGATAGGATAGTTATTATCCCGATAAGTGATCCCAATATTTTTTTATTGTGAATTTAAGGATTTTTATAGGAAGGGTCGTCGGAAAGGACAGAACAACGACTGGCCAACTATATAGATATAGAGATATTATAGTATACTAAAATATTTCCTGCACAGTCGATAGTTTCCGACGGTAGTCGGGACATGTCGATAGTCCGGTGTCCGCATCGGGGCGAGAGTGGTGACGGCTCAGCGTGGTCTGGTTGCAGGTGGTGAGCGCGGAGGGGGGAGCGCGCCCCTAGGGCCGCGAGCGCCTGCCCGACCTGGTGCCGTGAGGGCGCTAGAGCCCCGCGCCCGCCGCGCCCCGCACCCCGCCCCCGGCGCTCCCCGCACCCGCCACACCCGCACCCCTGACCCGCCCGCTACGCGCGCCCTAGCCCGCTAGCCGCACGCATACCAACCGCACACCCGCACCGACACTACTCTTTGTATAACTGAGTCGTAAAAAAATATAACGTTTTTTTTTCTTCATGATAGGCAACCGTCGATTAAAAGTATTATGAAAGGTTTGTTTCGTGGTACGTAATGAAGCGGCGATTCTATTCTCACTGTCCGATTGATTTGTTGTTCGGTTTAAAAATTATACGTAATCTGACATGCTCTAGTACCAGCACCGGATGTGGTTACATTTAGTCGATTTATAATTTACATGTGCTGTAAATTTAAATATTCGAATAAAAAACATAAATTATAAACTACAGAAATAACAAAACTGTTTTACTATCGTTTTTAAAATTACAATCTATTACATTGTTCGTTAATGATAAAAAAAGAAAACAAGAAAAATATTAAAATAATATTCAAACTGTGTAATGAAACGAATTAATATGTTATTACCCTTCTCTATTAAGAATGAAAAAAAAATTGTTTAAGTATTGTACATTACTCTAACATTTTTTGTTTTAATTTACAACCAGTTTTTATTTTAGTACATGTATCTAATTACTGAATCTATATAAAATATTTTACAATTTGGTGTCAGTGTTCGGTTGGCATGAAATGGCGCGGGTTAAAAGGGTAAAACAGTCACAATTTAGAGCTCTACGGTGTATTGTTTTTTATATTTACATTTGTAAATAATATTAGTTCGCAGCAGTTTTTTGTTATCCCGATTTTATTCCTTCATTATAAATTTTTACGAAACTTTATTTATTGATTTCTTAGTTTTTGAAATTATAAATCGCGCTTTTATAATATTTTATTTACATTCAATTATGTAAGAGTAGTCAACATGACATTTTTTATTAATATTTTGCTTTATTGACTGAAAATCCACGTGAGTCTGATTTTTTAATTTATTTTTATACAATAAGTTAGCTACTAGCGGGTAGCTCGAATCGTTTTTCGATGTTTTTTATAAGACGTATAAGTTTAGACGATCATTGAATAAAAAAGAGATCAAAGAACGAGTGAGATTCGCCAATACTGGCCATGTATTATGTTGTCGTGTTTTTTGTTTTAGTATTTAAGATAATTTTAAGAGCAGTTGAGTTGGTGAATGTTTCGGCAGCTATTTACTCTCCCCCTAGCGCGCACTCCGCCCCCATAATGGGCGGTCACCTCGGACGCAATCCGTTCCAAAGAGCGTTTCATTATTTATTCGCTTTTAGTTATCGGTTCGTTAGTCGTGGTTTTAATTTTAAATCGAGTAGGAGCTTATTCCGTGGCGCGCGGTGCGTGTGCGTGTGTGTGCGCGGTGCGGCGCGCACGCGGGAGCGGAGGCGGAGGCGGGAGCGGGCAGGCGCAGGCCCGGGCAGGCGACCTCGCTCGCTCTGTTTGTCACTGACTTGAGTTTTTCTAGTAACAGAACGCAAGTGTCACTGCACAACTAGAGTAAAAGTGTTGATGATTGAAGCCGATGTCTCGCATCGAGGACCTCTGTGCGCGTACCCTGTGAGATGACGCGAAACGTGACTCTTGTCGGGCTATGAATACTGACCTATTTAGTATTAAGTGTATGTAAAGTTACCTCTCATCCACTGTACACTAGCTATTGTGTGAAACCTATTTTATATTACGTGTTGTAATTGTTATAATTATTATTGTCTGTGTATCGATTGATTCGTCGCTTGCGAATTGTCTCTCCTACAGCGATGTTCGCTTAGAATCTCATTCCATTTGATGTACTAACAATAGAAAATTGCTTTTTTTGGGAATTGAAAATTGAATTGTTCAACTATAAACACAATATTTTCTTAGTACATTTTATCGTTATTGATATAGTGATATACGTAATAAAATAACAGTATATTGTATCTTATAATATATGTTTCGAAATAATTTATTAGATAATTAGAAAACAATTCAATGTTCTCAGTTGATTGCAGTGGATTTATTAGTGGTTAGTGATAAGTACATTCCCGTTGTATTCGTCTTCATGTTGTGTTGGTCGTGGCTTTAATTCCGTACATTAGCAAAATACATCATTATGTGATAATTATGTAACTTATAAATTTATGAAGCAGTGTTACACATCTCGAATAAAATAAATCATAACAATATCTCAAATGAAACGCCTATAATAGTGATTCTATATGTAGCGTGATCAATTTATTTTTGTATAGCTATCTTATTTATTGAATATTTCCAATAAAATAATTATTATCTTAGCTATCTTTGTAACATCACAGAGGGTGAGTCCAGCTGCGGCGAGACTAATGTAGATGGATTATCATTCGCCTTCATGCGAAAAATCTGCAGTAATCGCGGTTACGATTTCATTGTTTCATCCTTTGTCGGCCATTTTAATTTAAAAATAATTATAAAAGTATTAAATAAAATTGAAGCAAAAACATTGTGATTTAATATTCGTTTTTAATGCTGTATTAATTTACATGCACATGTAATTCAATTTCATCAATGCAAGAAAGATTATCACAGAATTTCATTAATGTTAAGGTGGAAGCTTTGAACTGCGTCTTAAAATTACCACAGTGATTTTTTAACGAGTTTTTGACTCGACTGCACGACAAAAGTCTCCTTTTATATTAAACTTTTGCCTAATATTTTATGATTAATCACACTGCCATGTTTCAAGAAGTTTTTTATATTAGTTTTACCCGAGTTTTAAATCATATACTCGTTATAAATTATTGTATTTAATTGTAAGTGTAAATTTTACAAAGTTAATAATACGTCATCCGTAAGATAACACCTGAAAACTTAATTAAATATTAGCTACTTATTTTCAAGCACTTTATATACATTCTTGGGCAATTGAATTCAGTCAAAAACTATTTTATCATGAAATATTATGTATAAATATAAACTTAAATATGTTCCATATTATTTACAATGAAAACTTTATAGCAAACATTGAGCGAAACCATTTGATTTAGCCAATTTGTATAGTGAAAAAAATCTTAGAGTATAGGTAAAAATTAAAAGAAAAACAATTCCAAAATCCGTTTTGTTGTTAAAAGTGTACATTGTACATTTTATGGTCTAAGTTAAATGCTATTTGAGATAGCAGAATTACCCAATGTTGCATATTAAATTGTCCATTTCGTAGCCAAATTATGAGTCATATCAATGAGATTGAATAAAGTAACTAGTGAGTAAAACAACATTGTTTTCTTTCTTAATCTTTAACACCTAAATCTAATATTTATAATTTAATTCATTCATAATTCTAAATGTAATGTTGTAATAAATGCGGCAATTGCCAAGGTGGCACTACACAAAATCTATATCTAAGCTAATACACTATAACTCTCCACCAGTGTCTACATAAAGTTTCAAGTTTCTAAACCAATTGTCGAAACACTTTTTCTTATAGGTACACCTCAGACACACTCCTACGGTCTGCTCGAACGCTGTTAGCTCATCTTACAGTGATGAATCTTTCAGAAGTGAAAAGAACACATGAGACACTGCCAAATCAAGGCTTTAAGGAGGGTGACCTAAAGGCTTAACCGGTATTCTGTCCAAGATGCGCGTAATGGTTTTAAGCGGCATTTGAAATCGTAAAAAAAACACCATTGCGCGAAAATGTTGCCGACGTTGATTTATATGGGAAATAAACGTGGTACTTAGTCCAATTTGGGGAGCACTCAAATGGTCTTTTAAAAATTAATAACCTTGTAAATCTAATAATGATTATATTGCTGCACTGTAGGAGTGTCTGTTGTGTAGTAGTACCAGGATACCATAACTTATCAAGATTCGTTCATTATTAAGATTCCGATGGTGATTTTGGTCTTAATCGATTAACAATAATAACTCTCAGATGCACGCCCTATCGTGCAAAGATAGCATGTCGCGTTAGCGGCCCGTCAAGTGCCAGAAGAAAAATTAAAATATTTCTTAGTGCCCCTAGCGCTAGGTTCGGGGGGAATTGATAGTAGGTGACACCCGTTGCCCATCCCGACCCTACCTTAACCCCTTATTAAGGCGAATAATTTTGTTTTTGGATTAACTCTAAAAACTGATTGATAGTGAATTTTCAAAAATGCATAATTAAAACTAAGTTTTAGCGGCTTGGAGTGCAGATGGAGGGATAACCTAGCCAACACTTCTCTTCGTGCCGCAGCATATTAATGGCATGTTCAGATGACCCGCGCCGACCACGCACGGGACCTGCACACGCGTTGTGTCCGCCTTACACCCACAGTGCAGTGATCTAGTGGCTTCCAGATGTCACAACGTCAGCACGTGTGCAACAAAGTGGATTCGACTAAGTTATAATTGCATACTATATGTATAAACGCCAGGCCTGTAAAGTTTTTCTTTTATCTTTATAACTTTCAAGGGTTTTGTCCCACAGCACGTCCTATTCCTGCACCAAAGAAATAAATGTTTCTTTATCAATTTCATCCATTATTATTTAATTAAAAAATCTACCAAGCCACTAAACTTGATCACAGTCAATACAACACTAGCCGAAGCGCGGGCGCAAGGCGTAGCGGGGCGAGTGCAGCGCGTGTGCGGGGCGAGCGCGGGGCCGGCGCGGAGCGGGAACGAGGCGGGTGCGTGTCGTGTGCGGTTGAACGACGATAAACTCATTTCAGATTTATTGATGTAACATAAGACTCAAATTATATGCAACAAATTTCAAAGCGGGTTAGATGCGGGTGCTGACACGCGTGTCGTCTGAACGTGGCCTAAAGTAATCTCGATGTTGATCCATATGTAATATATGTAAGTATGTAAAATGCCTCCACGATACAATAGATATAAAAAATCCTACTATGGCAACACAAAAATTTACTTACGGAGAGAGTAACTTATGATGTTATTACGCTAAAATATTAATGGTTAAATATTAACCATAGCGGATATAACCTACGGATACTATTGGAAACTTTCATCATCATCATCATCATCTTTTGAGTCTATCAAAGTGTACTGCTGAACATAGGTCTCGTCTGAAGATTGACTCCTTAGAGGATATTTTAGATGAAAATAAATAAAAATATGAGATGAAATGATCAACTGCATCTAGTTATAGCCTTTTAAGTGTATTATCATATTTATAATAATAATAATTTTATTTCAGATACAAGCTCCATACTTTGTTAGTAATAAATAACATAAAATTAATTTTAGTAAATATACTACAAAAAAAAAAACAACAATACTTATTTTATATTAAACATAACAGCTCTGGACCCCATACGCACAGTGTTCCAGTGCCGCACAACCGGACAATCAAGCCTTCCTAATACAGTACATAGGAGTCCGTTGGCACTGTCTCGCACGCGTCGCATCAGGGAGGCCACTCTTTTCCGCACTATTGTATCAAAGCTGTCCGTGTTAGCCTCAACAAACATACCTGATGCGCTGCAATATCGAGACAGCCCCATCAGCATCCTAAAACCATTATAGTACTGAAGACGTACAGCATTTACTGATCGGCGAATATACTTGACCCACAGGCTGCAGGTGTAAAACGTTTGGCAGTACTCCTTAAAAAGGGTTATCTTGACAGCTTTTTTTGTTCCTGTCAAGACGACAGGAACAAAATTATTTCTCAAAATAAGTTATTCATTTGTTTCTTTGGGTTTTGTTTTTTTCTACAATATTTCCATGCAATCCCAAGAAAATTCCTGTCATTTTTCATCAGCGAGAGGTCCAAGTCTGCCATCATATTGCTAGATCGGCAACTCTATACCACAATCGCCTAGTGTTCATCACAGTCTGTATTAGGTCTAGTGTGATGTTTAAAATTGTACCAACAAGTGGCAAAATTAAAAATTTTGTACAACCGTCTTCAATATAAATTAAATGAGAACATCATCAATGTAGTCAAAGTCAATTAAATACGCATTATTCAGGAGAACACAAAAACTACTGGTTAGATTGATCAAATTTATACGGGACCACATGAGAAGCACCAACTTCCAAATAAAAAAGAATCATCAAAGTCGGTTCACCTAGAAAAACTTCTGAGGTAACACAGATAAAAATACAGTCCAATTGTGAACCTCCTACCTTTTTGAAGTCGGTTAAAAATACCAAAATCTGAAATTATGTCAAAGTAAAACTAAATTAATTGGCAGGTGGCCACCTGGCAAGTACACCCTTTAAAACAAAAAATAATTTTCCAAATCGGTTCAGGCGTCTTTGAGTAATCGGCGAACATACATTAAAAAAAATTCTACGAATTGAGAACCTCCTTGCGGTTGAAATATGATTTAGATATACGCGCTCCCGCGAGTAGCACATGTAAAAATTTGCTAATTAGCCAAGTTGTCCTCTCTCGTCTGCCATGTGGAACTAGGTGCAGCACCATAATTACTTGACGCGAGCGCCGTTGGCGAACACTGAATATTATGCAACCTACTTACTTATATTATTATCATTGACTGACAGTCGTTAAGCACAAACTAATAAGCATCCACTAGACGGGCCGGATCGGACCCATTGCACAAATTTTACCGAATCGTTCTTAACAAAAAGAATGTAATGAAATTAATCATAAAATCTTTTGCTTACTTATATTTTGAATTAAAAATAATTCTTTGTTTGAGCTTGCCATTGATCACACTAGGTACCGTACGCATACTTGTCACAGCTACATCGGCAAAAATCGGCGTATATATGCACCACGCCCCGCATATATACGCTGATAATTGCGCGATATAATTGACGCAATACGCAAAAATTATTGCCGCATCGTTATGGCCCGCTTTATGTATACAAATAAATAAAGTTGATGTGTCTGTTTGTAATGTCAAAATAACAGCTTTTACTAAATGCATATGAAAGTACTTGTAACAAAAACACAATTTTTTAAATTATTGTCTGTCTGTCTGTTTGTTCTGGGTAATCTCCGAAACGGCTGGACTGATTTCGATGGGACTTTCACTGGCAGATAGCTGATGTTATAAGGAGTAACAAAGAGAATTAGGGTTCCGCGCAACATAATTAAAATCCTAAATTACAAGCGGGCGAAGTCGCGGGGAACAGCTAGTCTCTAATGGAATTGTTTCGACCCTGGGCCGCAGCATCCTATGCTACGTAACTGAGACTGATAATGCAATATGCATACATACGATACAGTTAGTATAGCGTGAAGCAAAAAACACGCTCATAGTGCACCTTAAGGAAACTGAAACAACTAGTATATGTAAAATATTCTTTATTACAATAATTTTAGAACCAATGGCAAATATTTTGTTTCATAATTTTTAACATAATTGAATAAAAAGTAATAAATCAGTAAGTAATACGTAATATCTAGATAAACAGGTATTTCAGTCTGTGCACATTTTAATGTAATAGATACCGACATAAATTAATATTGTAACATAATTTATAAAATTATAACAGAAATCACACTTCAACTCCACTTAAGGCCTTAATGCTCTTTATAAGTCGTGCATTGGCGTCTTTGTAATCGACAGGTTGCGCACTCATTACTGTGGTTTTTAATCGGGCTTCATCCTAAAAACAATTAATATTTTTTGTTAGTATCAGAACAAAATGAAATAAATATATATGAAAATTTATTTAAAAATAAATTTTATTTATTTTAAAGCCTTAGATTTGACCTTATAATGTTATGGATTTGAAAAATATTGCGTAAACATACTCGATGTCCCATATATTTCAGTCTGGTTTCGATAACGGCAAAATTTTTCAATAATACAAGTTTTTAAATTGTCAAATAATCGAACATACAATAAAATACAACAAGAAAAAAATGATTTCTTATATTTACGCGAACACTACACATTAAATGAAACGAATTTTTACCAAACGCCATAATATCCGTAAAAATTACTTTCATTTAAGAAAAAAATAATATTATTAGTGTCATATTAATTAGTGAATTGGCACCCAAATGTAGCAGAAGTTAACGTCTAATCAGAAGTATTAGGGCAAACTGAGTCACTTATATTCCTGCTAAAATACATTTGAAAACAAATATTATGACGTAGTAAAGGAAAAAATTTAAAGGATTTAAAATTTGAAAGTGGATTTGGTTGTTTTGAAATGGGTCGTTGCAATTTGCAGTTGTCTTAGTTACACTCAAGTAATTATGATTATTTCATTAATTCTAGGTGAGTATATTGAGTAAAGTATATATAAATATTAGTTTATAACCTGTTAGCTATATTATTATCATATAATTTTTTTATCACCATATTTGCTTAATAGATTCTAGCGTGCAACCGGAATTAAGAAATCATCTATGGATTTTTACTTTTAGACATTTTTGTAGCACGAATGAGTCGGTTCGACCAGGGAAGAAACACGCTCTCATACAATACTAGTGTAAAATAACAGCTCAATGCATAGCATAGCTTTGTTTCGTATGGTGAGTGCAGAGAACTGGAGACCCTTTTTACTGGATATGAGGCATTCCATCTCAGTCCTGAGAGGTGACAATGCATCTGCATTTTGATTCTTAAGTGAGTATAGATGTAGATGTCTATGGGCCACAGCATCCACTTACCAACAGGTGGGCTGTGTGCTCGCTTGTCACCCTTATTCTATATAAAAAAAAAATGCTAATACAAATAAATTAATGTTAATAACTTACACTGTATGTCTCCATTTTGGTGCGAAACTTAAAGACGAAAGTTTTAAATTTGACTTCTTCGAATATCTGACTATAAGCAGCTTTATCATATTCAAACATTTGTCCAATCTCTGCAGATGTTTTACCTAGGATAGCTTCTGCCGCTTCGTTAAAAGCTGTAATACGTTGATCGCCGGTGGGGTCGGACACATTTGCCTGGGAAAAAACCACATTTTATTTACTAAAATTATATGTACGTAAACTAACTGTCTTTTAACGGATATGAGCCTATGGAAACGCCATTATTAATAATTGTATTGTATGTCAATTTATAGTAGTGTCATTCCCAAACTAAATGAAGCAAATGTATAATAACAGACAGCACAGAGCCGGATAGTATACAATATTATTGTAAAGTTTATATATAGTATACAACATATTTAGTTTTTTCCATCATACAAACAGATTTTATTAAAATTCACGTGAATGCTAAAATGGAGTTACATAAATTGATAATAAAATAATGAAATTAAATAGGTGTTTTGTATAAGATGTGATACTTTCAAAATAAGGTGCATCACATTACCACTATGATTTTCATACGGAAACCTAAGCTATTAGACTATAAGACAATATAAGGCATACTATGAATAAATGCAGAAGGGAAAATTGATATCAATAAATGTTGAAATTAGGATATATATATATATATATATATATATATATATATATATATGTGTGTATTTATTTTTAAGAAAAACAAATACATAATTTTTTTCCTTGACTTCAACTGTCAGAATAGTTCTTTAGAAACTTCTTACCACACTGTGTATCCCTTGTTTTAGTTTTTATATGCTTAAATCTTCTAGTTTGCTTTTAGTCTATAACAAAGGTTGTAAATGAACTTGGTATGTAATGTAATGAAATGTTCTTTTGTACAGATTTTCATTTTCTTCAATGCATACTCTCATAATTTGTCTAACTGTAATATAATCTCATAAAAACAACAGCTTCGCAGGATTCACGCGGAAGCAAACCCGGTTAATAAAGAACGCGGCTTGATCTAAAATATCCAACACTGTCATACTCACGCCGAGTAACAATCTGTATTTGAAATTAGGGTACTCTCTGTTGCACTTTTCACATCTGTAAAGTCCGTTCTCCTGGTCCACAAGTTTCTTATTGCACTGCTCCTGCGGGCAGGCTTTGTACACTGCATTATCCGAAAATGTGAATGTGAGTACTCCAAGCAGAGAGTAGTAGTCTCCCTTGTCTCCTGCACCGAGCTGCCTCGCCTCGGCTTCCGCGAATGTGATCCACTCGTTGCTGCCGCCTCCATATGCACCAGACCTGAGCATGAAAAAATCGTAACTAATTTTTCCTTTCTTCATTACACAATATCAAAAGTCCACTGCTCAACATTGGCCTTATAGATCGCCTTATAAGTGAGATTGACCGCCTCTTTGATATAGTGGTCGAAAATGGGACAATTGATCATGTGGTTACAGGCTGAACGGTCCAGATTAAGTTGAAATCAGTTATTGCGATTTTCTGTTAAGAAATGGTCATTAGCAACCCAAACTCAGAAAGTTGGCGGTGTATTGGTATCATAGGGTTTTCGTTGGTGTTTGGGTTACTGGGTTCATCCCAGTGCCTAGGAAAGCACGCAAAGACTAGTTCTGCGTATGAGATCGGTCTCTGGTAAGTTTTATTTTTATAGGATAGTTTGACAAACGAGCACACAGTCCACCCGATGGTAAGTGGTTACTGTGACCCATAGACATCTACATCTATCCTCGTTTGCGAATCAAAATGCAGATGCGTTGTCACCCGTGAGGACTAAGATGGAATGCCTCTTTGCCAGTTTAAAAAGGGTCTCCGGTTCTCTACACTCACCATACGAAACACAGCAGCGCTAAGCTGCTATTTTACGCTGGTTTTCTGTGAGAGCGTGGTCCTTCCCCGGTCGAGCCGACCCATTCCCAGTTGTGTCGTATTTCCATCACATTGGACTATAAGAATGCACCCATTTATGCACTATAATCTGCAGCCCCGTTGAGACTTACTGCCGTGACTGTAATTCGGTCAAAGGGACATTAATTAAATAATAATATCCCCTATATTTGGCTTACTTGCCATGAAGGTAATGCAATCGCTGTTTTTATTGTTTTCAGATGTTATATGTAAGGTGCTGCTTAAACATCTCCTATTACATTTCCCACTGTCGCTTCTTACGACACCCACGGGATGATAGGAGGCATCGAATTCTGTTATGTAACATTCTTCATAAACCTTCAACAAAAACTATGTGAACTGTGAATACTATATTCTACTTTATGATGTGCTAACTTTGCACCCCAACAGTGGACTGTTCACTGAGTGCAGGCAGGTAAAAGATTTGATAAAATATGCTAAGATACTTGACATTGAGGGACTCCACGACACGACATGACAGACATAAACAACAAAAGATTAATCTTTTTTACTGACAAATTGCAATTTGAAATTACTTAAATCAATGGAAATAAATACAAAAAATGATTTTTATTTACTGACCTAGCCATACTAGCTCAGGAGCTTAATGCTTGCCTTTAATATTATAGTACCCCGTGTTCAATCCCAGCAGGCACAAAGAAAGTCATCACAGTTATAAGTCCTGATTTACCACACATTCAGTGCTAAATTTAACCATAGTGAAGAAACTTGTATATCATAAAAATTAAAAAAAGAAATATTTTAAATTTATATTCAAAGATATTTAAAAGTTGTGTGGACTCCAAAACTCACTGATCAGGGCGGTGGACACTTCCTTGCCCAAATACCACAAGTGTGATGTATATAACTTTCACTTTTTAACTTTTACTTACCTAGCAGAAATATTGACTATGTCCATGTTGGCTCCTCCATTGTCATACCAGCCCCGTAATTTGTGCGCTTCAGGTAAGTCTGGATTTAAGCGGAGCATGGTACTCGCTAAGCATGATAGTGATTTACTGCCATTGAATTCTGTTAAACGGGCACCCTGGAATATTGATTACCAATAATTATTATGTTTTCCTTTCCTACAACCACTACAGCTACTTAAAATAGGTAATGCTCAGAATATTAATATTTAACATTTAAAATTAAAAATAATAATTTTAATTTACAGCCAACAGTTAATAATAATATGTTTATACATTTTTTTCTTCCTGTAGAATAAAGTTGGATGACGTTATTATTAACAGTTATAGTAAATTTGCATTTTGTTTATTTGGTTGGTTAGTGAGATTGCTCATAATGATAACAAAAAAAAAAATACATTACGAACAAGAATTAAAGATTGCACCAACCTTTGCAGCTATTACAGGGTTTGTACTTCCATCAAATTTTTCTGCTTCACTGCCCCAGAGAGTGAGAACGACCTGAAATAAATAAAATAAACCTTTATTATTTTCTCCCACAAATAGTACATTGTATAATTTATCTTTAAAAAAATATTTTTTTCATAACTAAAACAAAGAGTACATCAATTTGTGGGAGACCGGAGTCCAAACTAGGAGACCCTGTGCTATGGATCTCCCGGCTCCCCATTTAGGGTGATCAAGTTTAATTTTTTTCTTTATTTTTTATTATATATAGCAGTGACATTTTTTCCGTTTGCGAGGGCATACGCTTAAGCGGGTTAATCGTATGTGCAGTGTGTGTGTGTGTGTGTGTGTGTGTGTGTGTGTGTGTGTGTGTGTGTGGTGTGTGTGTGTGTGTGTGTGTGTGTGTGTGTGTGTGTGTGTGTGTGTGTGTGTGGGGTGTGTGTGTGTGTTAACTCATACGTGGTGTGTTAAGATGCGATTTGCAGTAATTGTTCTGTTTTTTTCATAATCAAGTTTAAGCAGCTAATCTGAAATTTTCTTTTTACATTCAAATTTTGTTAGGTTAATGATACGGTGTAATTTGTTTGCTTTGTTATATAATCTACGAGGGCGGCACTGAAAATTTCGGGAATCAAGGAAGTGACACAACATTACTATTTAAAAATGTATTTATTGCTTTTCGACATATTCTCCGCGAAATTTGACACATTTTTCCATATGATGGAACCAATCATTGAACCAACCATTCCATTCGGAAGTTGGGGTCTCCAAAATGGCCGTTTTGTAGGCGTCCACAGCTTCTTCAGGTGATGAAAATCTCTGTCCACGCAATTTATTCTTTATTTTAGGGAAGGTATAGAAATCATTAGGGCTTAGGTCCGGGCTGTACGGCGGATGGTCTAATAATTCTATGTTTTCTTGCTCTAAAAACTCTTTTGTTCTGTGTGCGGTGTGAGAACTCGCATTGTCGTGATGGAGGATGATGCGGCGGTTGCAATTCTCTTTACGGAGTTCAGAAACGACCTGTGGCAAACAAATGCTAGCATACCATTCTGCATTAACCGTTCTTTGTCCCTCAAGAGGAATAGTCGTAACATGGCCGGTTTTGGAGACAAACGTGGCCACCATTTTTTTTGCAACACTCCGTGAACGGACAATTTTTGTTTTTGACAATTTATGCTTTAACTCATTTTCGAACACCCAAACTAGTGACTGGTTTTTTGTTTCGGGTTCGTACGCGTATATCCAGGATTCGTCACCTGATACGATGTTGTATACAGCATTTGAGGATCCTGCGTGGAATCTTTCGAGATTTCTGACGCACCAAGTAACGCGAGCCGCTTTTTGCCCTTCACAGAGCGAATGCGGTATCCATCGGGAAAACAACTTTTTTACATAATTAATAGAATCAGGCGTTACTTTGCGGAAATCCATTATATAAAAGCTTTTACAAAAATTTATTTCGCAAATATCCGCGTTATAACATAAAATGATGTGTCTTACCTAGTATGAAGAAGCACCTCCCGCCCTCGCTCAATTGCGTGCACTATCCCCGTCACCACTAATCCCAGCACCGCTACTTCCAACACCACTACACTAGGCAAGACACACCACTGACGATAATACGACACGTGTTTCGCCTCTACACGAGGCATCCTCAGGTGATATAGACTCTACGGTGGCTAACCGCTAAGTGAACTTTTTTACACCTAATTGTTCATGCAAGATTATTTGTATTTGACTCATGCCAATGTCTAAAGTTGCCTGAATTTCGCGGTATGTCACATATCGATCTTCCTCAATCAGCTTACGCACAGCATCAACGTTTTCTTGGGTGACTGCAGTTTTTGGACGACCTTGACGGGGATCATCACTAAGCTTGACACGTCCGCGTTGAAATTCAGCAAACCAGCGATAAATTGTGGTTTTCGATGGGGCTTCATCACCAAATGCAGAAATCATCCGGTCAACACACTGTTTTTGTGTTAAACCACTTCGAAAGTCATAATAAATCATCGCTCTTGAATTTTCTCGAGTCAATTCCATTTTCTCAACGACTAAGCAAGTTTGACAAAACCTTGTGACAAGACGGAGAATCTTTTTTTAAATAAATAAATGGTATTCGATTTTTAAAACCAAGGAATTTTCAATTAAAAAGATTTTAATATGACAGGAACAGTGGAAATATTCTATTCCCGATATTTTTAGTGCAGCCTCTGTATTACCTCTCAAACTGAAAAACTTTTGAGCAAAAAATGTTTTTACCGGAATAATTACACAAACTTCATAATCTCTCCTCGTACCAAAATTCCTTATATTATCCAACAAATCAATACAACTATGTTTTTTTAAGATTATTGATAATATGTAAATTTTTCAAACCGTTAACACATTGGCTTCTGCGTACAAGTTCGTTGTAGGATACATCCTAGGGTTTTTCAAGGCTATTTTTAATATCATCCTTTCTACCTTTTCAACTTCCATCATTAATGTTTTACTAGAGCCTTACCATACATACCATAGGACAGGATAGATTTACAAAACAATTCATATACAGTTTTAATTAAATTCCAATTTGCGATATGTCTTAAGTTTTTAAATATGTAGATAAGCTTTCTAATTTTTTGAACTAAATAGTTTATATGTTCTTTGAAGGTTAGATTCTTGTCTATTGTTATGCCGAGGTAGTTTATATTATTTGTATTTTCGATATAAGGACATTTACAGTTTGAAATAGAGGTCATATCACATGAATGTGCTATGATTTTAAATTTATTTGTAATACAGTATGAATTTCGAATGGAAAACATTACATATTTCGTTTTATCGGAATTTAAAGTGAGACTACTCAGAGCAAGCCAGTGGCAGACTATATTGAAACCATCCTGGGCGATTTTGAAAACTTCTTCCCAAGAATCACCGTAAAACGAGAGAGATGTGTCGTCAGCATATGAAGTTATTTTAAAATTTAGGATGTTTAATTGACAAAGATCGTTTATGTAGCAAAGGAAGAGAATTGGACCGAGAATACTCCCTTGTGGTACTCCGTAGTTGATTGGGCTTTCATCACTAAAAATCTCTCCTATCCTAACTCGTTGTGAGCGATTTTGTAGGTAATCTTTAAAAAGTTGTAATTGTACATTTCTAATACCCATTTTTTCAAGTTTCTCGATCAGTTTAGAAGTTGAAATGGTGTCAAATTTTTGCATAATAAATTCTGTAAAAACATGTATAGCGTCAGTAGTTGATTTACTCTTTCGAAAACCGAATTGACCATTTGAGAGAATTTCATTATCTTCTAAATATTTTTAGTGTTTATTATTATTATTTTTTTTATTTTTTTTTTTTTTTTAAAAACGTTACCCCTGCACTAGGATTTTCTCCTGTGTCGTGGAGGCACTTTACAAACATAAATTGCACAAGGACAAACATCCAGACCCAGAACAATTATTTGTAGGCCATACAAATACATGTTCCGTGCGAGATTCGAACCCGCGGCCCCCAGCGCAACAACTGATTGCCACTGCGCCACGGAGGCTTAGATATAGACGGGAGTAACGATATTGGACAATAGTTAGTGATGATGTCACGCCATCCGTTTTTAAAAATTGTAATTGTGATTGATCTTTTTAAAACTGTTGGAAAAACACCTTCTAGACACGATTAAGTGGGGGGATTATAAATTCTTTAAGACGTTTTAAAATTTTTGGTGTAATACCATCCCAACCAGCACCACAATCAGTCTTAAGATTAAGAGACGTTCGAGTTCTTCTTCACTAGTTTTAAGTAGGACAAAAGAGTTACTTTTAACTGTTACAGGATTTATAGTAGTAGGAAGAGGCGGAAGATCTGTTTTAAGTTTACTTGACAACTCAGAACCTATATTTGCAAAAAAAAAAAAAGTGTTTATAAAGTATACGGAACTTAGCGGGTTATTTTCAATCTTGAGAAATTCAGCTGGTAGCTCTTTTGATTTATTTAAGTTATTTATATTTTTAACAATGATGCAAATTTTTTTATTATCATTTCCAGCAGCTTTCAATTCATTTCTTTCATAATGATTCTTTTATTTTTTTTTTAATATATCATTACAAACATTTCTGTATCACTTTTAAGTACATTTTAAAATTTCCTTTTGAGGGTCTTTATTTAATTTATAATGCATTCTATCTCTGGTTCTTATACATCTTAATAAACCAACAGTTATCCAGGGTTTTATTGTGATTTTGCTTCAGGGTATTCTAACTTTTATTGAATTATTAACAATTATTTTTTGTATGTGTTCAATAATAAAGTGTATTGATTGATTTGGATTAAGTACTTTTTTTTTATAGAATTAGGGTGACAAACGAGCACATAGTCCACCTGATGGTAAGTGGTTGCTGTGGCCCATAGACATCTACATCTATGTTCGATTACGAATCAAAATGCAAATGCGTTGTCACCCGTGAGGACTAAGATGGAATGCCTCGTTTCCAGTAAAAAGGGTCTCCGGTTCTCTACACTCACCATACGAATCACAGCAGCATTAAGCTGCTATTTTACGCTGGTATTCTGTGAGAGCGTGGTCCTTCCCCGGTCGAGCCGAGCCTTTCGTGTTACAACTATATCAGAAATATAGCTGCAGCATGGCTCTACCACATATAAAAGTTCATTATTATAAATCTGATTAAAATTTAGGTTTTTACAATCCCCATACAGGCTATCGAAAGTTATTTTTATTAATGAAATTATTTTTATTGTAGATATTTTGTTTTATCTATTTAATGCAGAAAAGAATCGGTTCGTGGTCAGTAATGGAAGTTAATAAAATAAAAGTATGTGTGAGATATTTCGTTTTTAGAATTACATGGTCAAGGCAGCTATTACCCCTAGTAGGAGTATCATTGTATTATATATTCATCATATGCCAGTATCATTCCATAGAAAGCCAGAACTTGTAAGTAATTCGATGACAGCGAATTAAGCTCAGCAGTGTTAATATTTAGCAAAGTATTTTAAAAGAAGATAGTTAAGTTAGCGAAAAGCGCACTGTATGAGCACTAATGTTGAACCAAGACGTATCGGCTCCTCGTCGCACGCAAGCGACACGCAACAGTTGGTCGCGAATAGCACGACGCATACCAGATCTCTCTACACTAACCTCCACATCCATTACATTCATCCAGCTCAATGCCTAATTTTTAGGCGACGAGAGAGAATAGATGCATCGGGTTTTCTCCATTTTGTTCAGGCACGCCTGTGAGCTCCAGGTCATTTAAAAGAGCAGCTTAATCTTTGTAATTTAAGTCACGCTTTAGTTGAGCCACAGTTTCAACCAATTCACTTGCAGGTTCAACTTTTTTTCATCTTTCGCTTGAAGTTTTAAGCACGTCACACGGTTTTCAGCACTGTCTAATGTTCAGTTTCCCCAACTTCCTGGCGAAAATTAACCATTTCTCTCGAAAGGGTTTGCAATTCTGTCCGTAAGAGCCTAATTTTCTGTGCTAATAATCCTTCGTTAGAACCCTCCACCCTTGCATCCAAAATGTTTCAGTTATCCTCTGTTTCCGCATGTGTTGGACTTTGTTGCGGCGTGGAATTGACTTCCGAACATGAGGCCTCAGGTTTACAGGTCTTGCACATTCACTTCGCGCTAATTTTCGTGTCAGGGTTGATGTTTACACAATGGCGATGGTGTACTGATGGACATTGACCATTTAACACCATCTGTTTGAGACAGGAACTTCCCGCAAAGACCACACTTATTTGCCATGTTTAACTTAATTATCACTAAATGTTCCCATATAGTAAACTTCGGCAAATTGAACTAACTACATAATATAATATAACGACGCTTGAGTTAAAACAAACAAAAGTCTAAAACATAAATGTTAAACACTTTACTTGTTGTGGGTACATATAACAGCTGATTGGAAACAGTTGATTATGTTACAATAAACTTAAATGATATTTTAATCACACTGACTCAGTCTTAACTGTAAATAACACTAATATCACTTTTTACTGCTATCTTAAACAGAATTATACTATTTGTATGTACAAAAACCACGTTTAATTGTTTTATTAGCTCCAATTATCATGACGTGTATGCACTACCTGCCACATCTCAATAGAGAAGGAAATAAAAAGGTTTATAATGGTCTAAAAGTAAAGTAAAGTTACAGCCTATATGTACGTCCCACAGCTGGGCATAGGCCTCCTCTCATTTCTGAGAGGAATTTAGGGCAAGGGAGTGTCCGCCGCGCTGCCCCAATGCCTGTTGGCGAACTTCACATGTCTTCGAAATATTTTTTTCTTATTTCTCAGACATGCAGGTTTCTTCAAAACGCCGAGCACTTGGTAAAGCTGCACTTATAATTGCAAATTGTATTTTGTTTTTTATGTGTGTTACCTCGGAATACATTTTTTTAGGTGAACCGTTTTTGATGACTTTGAAAGGAAAGCAATTTAGATGAACACTTACTGCACCGCCGGAAGAATCAACAAGTGTGATTTCTCGTTTTTTCAAAAGCCTTCCTGTGCTTCTTTGTGTCAGTTCTTGTATATCAGCTACTGATTTACATACACCAATTATATCTGTAAAATTTAAATTTCTAAATAATTTTCTGGAACAATTGTGGAGTGCGTATACATAATAAGAGTGAATGAGAGTATGGAAACCACAAAACGAATATAATGTTTGACCCTGAATCAACATACAGAGTGGCAAGGCCTGGCTATAGTAGAGCCAAAATAATTTGGTATTATTATGTTATCATACATTGAAAACTCGGCTAGTTTTAAAAGCTATGATTAATATATAATATACTACATTTATCTGCATCTAGGTTTACATCTGAGGCCTTTGTGGAACAGAGAACTAATATATAGATGCACCATCTTTACATAAAATAGAATGAAAGCTTTACTGCCAACAATAGGGCCAGGTTTTGTTACTAGTAATAAAAATACAGCAGATTTATGCAGATATTTCAATCTGGTATTCTGTTAGAGAGCAATCCTTTCCCTGTTCACCTGACATATTTTAAAGGTATGGTCAGTATCTACTACTATCTATCAGTCTGAGTGTAGAGAACCACACTCACCATACAAAACACAGCAGCATTAAGCTGCTATTTTACGCTGGTATTCTGTGAGAGCGTGGTCCCTCCACAGTCGAGCCGACCCATTTGTGCTACAACTATACAATTAATATAGCTGTGGCAGGGCTATACTACATTTAAATTTATATAATGTAAGTTAGTGTTGCTCAAGTTGTTTAATATAGTTTTAACGTACAAATGAAGGAAAAAGTACAAACTAAAATCCTTACCAAGCAATGTATCAGGACTTTTGTTAGCTATTTCATTGATTGGAACAAATTCATATTTGATTGATGGCACCGATGATGCTTCATCCATACATTCAGCAACTACTGTGTCAGCTGTGAATGACATCTCGTAATCATTCTTCAGATTTGTAAATTGTTTGTTAGCAGTTTTAAGTTGGCAGCGGCTAATGTAGTAAACTTTGTCTACCTGAAGTTGGAATTTTTTTTAAGTTAAAGTAAAGATGTTTGTCCCTTCAAAGTAATGACTTCATAATGTGTATTGTTTACCTGAGCCTTGCTAAAACAAATATTTCTAAAATCATGGTTGGCGTAGCAACTATGAAAGTTAGACATTTGTTCAGCACTGTGATGTAATATGTATCAGTATTAACTCTTTGCTTCGGTATTTAAAGGAATATAATGAAGAAAACCGTGTGGTGGCGTTGTAAAAATATCCAATGCCCCATATCGAACAGATGACGAGCGAAATTAATTAAATGTATGGACCAGATTTCAACTCGGATGGACAGCGTTTGGGAAATTACGACATATCTTCTCGTCAGGTATAACCCCAAAACTTAAAAACGTAGACTGTAACAACAAATGTGTGTTGCCAGTGATGACCGATGGAATTGAAACGTGGTCCTTCACTGCTGGTCGTATGAGGAAGCTCAAGGTCGCTCAGCGAGCTATGGAGAGGGCTATGCTCGGGGTTTCTCTGCGTGATAAACTTAGAAATGAGGATATCCGCAGTAGAACCAGAGTTACCGACATAGCCCAAAGGATTAGTAAGCTGAAGTGGCAATGGGCCAGCCATATAGCTCGAAGAAGCCGATCGAGCCGATGGGGAAAAAAGGTTCTCGAGGGGCCGCCTTGTACCGGCGGAGGAAGTGTAGGGCGCCCCCCACTAGATGGAGTGACGACCTGGTAAGACATGCAGGAAGTCGATGGATGCAGGTGGCTTAGGCCCATACTTTGTGGTATTCCATGGGGGAGGCCTATGTTCAGCAGTGGACTTGTGAAGGGCTGTAATGATGATGGACCAGGTATCATAATGGAACAGATTGTCACAAAACAAAAAAAAAACAATGTTTTCAATGCAATAAATAATGTGATTTATATGACCATTTTCAATCAATGTATATGTTTACTATTATGGCCAAATTGTTATTAACTTGCCGGTTGCTGCATTGTCAATTGATTGCAGGCAACTTAAACCATCAATATCCATTTTTTTAAAGCAAACTTAAAATACCATTTTCTGCCGACTTCCAAAAAGGAGCCGGTACTCAATTCGACTGTATGTTTTTTTTTTTCGTTTTTTTTTTTTTTTTTATGTGTGTTACCTCAGAACTTTTTTCTGGGTGAACCGATTTCGATGATTCTTTTTTTATTTGAAAGCTGGTACTTCTCGTGTGGTCCCATATGAATTTGATCAAGGTCAGACCAATAGTTTTTAAGTTATTCTTAAATAACTTATATTGAAGTCGGCTGTACAAAATTTTTAATTTTAAATTATTACCTCAAACAGTCTAATAATAGTTTAAGGTAGAACAAAATTTACAGCATAATTTTTAGTAATTGACTATGTATTAGTTTTAACCAGTTAAAAAAATTAATTCGCCACAAACCAAATATCTTAAAATTGATGTTGCATATGTTTTTTTTTTATGGTATATGAAAGTGAATATATTTTAGTTTTATTTAATTATTTAACACTACAGGGCTCGCGAGGGTGACATATGTCACCCAGGGTGTAATATTGTTTAATAACTTTAGAACTAATTGTGCTTTAGTAATGCCCTCTCAGGTATTCCTCGAGGAAGGACCACCCCACACATTAGTAGCACAGTGCGTTGACGTATCACCCCCGCGCGAGCGTCTGAGGAAGTTTTAGAAATCTAACATAAGTGATTGAAATTGATTTTCATATACCCTCTATACCCTCATGTCAGTAATTTCTTTTTGTATTTTACATGTGTTATGATCAAATTATTCTATTTGACATATTGGCTATATATTTACGTATTTCGACATCGAAGGATTTGACTATAAGTAAGTGGTCGGAAGATTTCACCGAAAGTAGTGCGTCAGAGGAAGAAGAAGACAGTGGTCCACAGGAGCAAACTGCTGCATTTGGTTCTACTCAGGTTTCTGACATGGAACAAGAAAGTGATAATCAATCTGACGAAGACAATATGCTGCACCTACAGATTTGGTTGAAATGAAAGCTTTTGTCGGCTTGTTGTTATTATTAGGAGTTAGTTTTAACTCCGCCATTGCCGGTCCTAAGCCCGGATGAGAAAGGAGGAGGGGACGGTTCCGCCGGAGAGAGTGGGTGTATCCGGTGGACTAACACACCCACCTGCGCTAGGACCTGCGCAGTCGAACGCCGTACGCGGGGATGAAGAAGTCCTGGAGGGTTGAGCCGATCGTCGCTGGGATATATAGTGGCGAGAGGCAACTCGCCCTCTTTGGTCCGGATTTCAAGCTAAACGGTGGCCCTATCTGCTAGCCACAGATAGGGAAATCTCAAGCGCCCCGTTAGAGGGTCGCAGGCGAGGGATGTGGGGGCTGCCTAGTTTTCCTGAAAAGGGGCTGGGTGGTGGTAAAGGCCATGCTGACAGAGCAAGTGACAGTTTGACAGGAATTTTGACAGGAATGGGCCTTGTCAGCCCCATCTACCAGCTGGATCGAGCTCCCGATGTCGCGCTGTGAGCCAACTTCGCGTCCCTATATTCTCCCGGTAATCCTAACGCCTGAAATTCTTTTTTAAAGTAGGGCGTTCCCAAAGGTGCGGGCTCCATGGAGGGTGGGAAGCCGGGGGACGAATTTTTAACACAGTCAATGGAGAATTTAAGGCCCAGTAAAAAAGAGGGAGGGGTGTCAGAGGGGCTTACCAGAGACACTAAAGAACAAAGGGGAACCGCCATTAAACCGACGGTTCCACCGACAGTACCCTCCAGCGTAGGTGACCCAACCAAGGGGGCAACTTCCGCGCTGAACGTTTCCAAAACCAGTTTCAAACTTGAGGAGCTGGACGAGAAAAAGGAGCAAGAGCCCGCGAGTAACAAAACTCCTGCGGAGCCTCATAGAACGGACGTCCTTTTCTCTGCTGCCTAGGAAGTGGTGAGCCGTCAGGGGAAAGGCAAGGCACCCAAAAAGGTGACTTACCGACCTGACGGACCATCAGGAGGGTCTATCCCTGCAGGCAGTATAGGAAAGGCCAAAAAGAAGAATAAGAAGCAGCGAGAAAAAGGCCGAAGAGAACGAGCCGCGCTGGCTGCTTCTAAAACTAAAACCAGTGAGGCTGGGCAAGGTACTGCGACTGGGGTGCTTGGGGCTGGAACCAATAGCTGCGCTGAAGCTGGGAAGGATAAAAATCCAGGCCAAGTGGAAGTCGTGGCCGCGGGAACCAGCTCTAAGATATCCGTCAGGAAACAGCGAGCGGCCAAGCGTCCTGGGAAAAAGGAAAGAGCAGCCAAAAGGATGCTGGAAGAGTCCACCTCGCCGAGAGGAGAGCACAAAAAAGTGCGACTCGAACAGCAACCAAAGGCTGCAAGAACAAGCTACGCTTCCGCTGCTAAAGCAGATTTGGGTGTGGCCTTAACGTGTGCGCGTTCAGGTCACATTACGAAGGAAGTAGCAGACGACATCCTCGTGGCAATACAGAGGAAAATGATCAGCGAGGCCTGGAGTAGCCAGGACCCTGATGCGTCGGGCCCAGTTTTTAGAGGCAAACCCGTTTACACGGAGGGTGTCCTGAAACTGTGGTGCGACGATCAGAAGGCTCTGGATTGGTTGAAGAGGAATATTGCTACCCTCGGCCTTAAATCCATCACTCGCTGACTATAAAGAAACAGTCGGAGATACCACAAAGAGTCAAATGTGGCATCCTTATCCCTGATGCCCAGGGAGCCTGGAAAGACTCACGCGACATTGGTCGTGTGCTGGCGTACCAGAACCGCTGGGTTAACATCAGGGACTGGCTGTTACTCAAGGCAGATAAACAGACGGACGGGTGGTTCCTCGTTGTTTCGGTGCCGGAGGATCATACCCCTGATGAAGGCCGGACGCCGTCTCGCATGTGTATGCGGGGCGGTTTACGTAAAATTCCAGGGTCATGTAGGTAAATTCTTTGACACTCCACCAAGCAAAGAGGCAGTAAATAACCCGGAAGTTATGGATACGGGAGAGGTGGTTACCGGTACTGCGGAATCATTGGAGGCCAAGTCCAGTGAAAAAACGGCTTGCACAATTGAGCCAAAGCCCCCAGTAGAGATCGGGCTCAGCGGCAGCTCACTGAGTGACGAGGAGGACTGCATTTTGCCGACCACCTCCGACTCGGTGGGTGACGATAAAACCCGAGATCTGCTGGCAGGCTTATTTTTGAGCGGGGACGGAGAGGACGCGATCAGTGATGGCGTGCCCTTCGTCCAAAACTAGCCTAGTGCAGACCAACCTCCACCACAGCGAAACTGCGTCGGCTCAATTACTCAAGTGATTGGAGGTTCAAAGGACGGCCATAGCCTTAATCCAGGAGCCGTGGGTTGGGGCTGGTAAAATTAAAGGCCTAAACAACCTAAAAGGTAAGCTATTCTACAGTTCTGAACACAACAAGCCTAGAGCGTGTATTTACTAAAGATTTACTAAAGATATCTGTGCACAACCATTAACTGATTTCTGTTCTAGAGACATGTATGCCGTGGCAATACAATATACACAGGAGAGAAGATTAGTCGTCGCCTCGATCTACATGCCGGAGGAAGACACTCCTCCCCCTCATGACCTCGTGAGGCTGGTGAACTTCTGCGAGAGGACCAGACTAGAGTTTGTGATCGGGACGGACTCCAACGCGCATCATCCCCTCTGGGGAATGGAAAGACCGAATGAACGAGGTAAGGTGTTAGTTGAATATTTATTTAGCACTAACCTAACTATTTTAAACACAGGTTCTGAACCAACTTTCATAAACAAACGCTGTCGCACAATAATCAAACACACTTGCAACACAAGGAGCAGCTAAACTAATTAAGGGATGGCATGTATCGAGAGAGGCCTCATGCTCAGACCATAGCTGGATCTGCTTCGCACTACAGGTATCCCCGCTAAACCACCATGGAGAAATTCCCGCAAGACGGATAAAACAAAATACCTTAATAGGTTGACGTCTTTGCTCGTGGGCTTTGAGGGGACAAATACTATAGCAGATAAATCGCTCCTAGAAGAACAGGTAGCAGCTGTTACTAAAGCCATGATAGATAGCTACCATGAATCTTGTCCAGAAATCACTCCACTAAGGCATGCTGAGGTAAAGAACTAGATAGAAAACGTAAGAAGGTAAGAAAAGCCCTAAATAGGGCCATGAATACCTCAATGGATGAAGACTGGCTACTATACAAGAAAGCTAACTTCGAATACAAAAAATGTAATGGTAATGAATACGACTTAACCGTTAATCCAAATAAAACGGTTCTAGTAATGTTCACACAAAAACGAATGCTGAATAACTATCATCTCCCAAGTCTTTTCAGCACAAAACTCCAGCTATCATCTGAGGTAAAATATTTAGGTCTTACCTCGAACAGCAAACTTAACTGGAATAAACACATAGATAACAAAATCAACAAAGCTAGTATAACTTTCTGGCAATGCAGAAACATGATTGGCAAAAGATGGGGACTGACGCCAAAAATTATACCGTGGCTGTACAAAACTGTAATTCGGCCCATGACCACATACGGCGCTCTGGTATGGTGGACCAAGACAAATGAAGCCACCACTATAAAGAAGCTTCAGCGCTACCAGACACTGGCATGTATGGCTGCCACATGCTGCATAAAGACTACGCCAACAGCAGTCTTAGAAGCGATTCTAGAGCTAACCCCACTTCATCTACATATTATACAACAAGAAGCGACTTTGGCTGCTATCAGACTCAAGACCCTAAATCTTTGGAGTAAGAATAGAGTCCCTCATACAGGCATAATTGATAGAATTCACTCAAAAAATCTTACAAGCCAAGTATGATAAGATTCCTAAACAATTTCTTTTCAATAAGAAGTATAAGATACAATTAAATGAAACCAGCCAGCCGGAAGTATTAAGCCCAAAAGAGCTTAGAATTTTCACCGATGGTTCTAAAACAAATGAAGGTGTAGAGTCTGGAACTTTCTCTGAAGACTTCAATATCCACATATGCACACCACTGGGTACCTATAACACAGTCTTTCAGGCGGAATGTATGGGTATCATTCAAGCGGCCATAGCAATAGATGCTAGGAAGGTTAATGACTTCCCCATCAGAATACTGACCGACAGTAGGGCGGTACTACAAGCTCTTAGTTGCAATGTGGTGAACTTGGGACTAATATATGAATGCCATCAACAATTAAATGAGGTATGTAAAAACAACAATGTGACTCTGCAATGGATAAAGGGACACAGTGGATCCAGAGGCAATGATGCAGCAGACGAACTGGCCAGAAGAGGATTGGCTCTGGCCACTATAGGGCCGGAACCAATCATACCAATCCCCTTTGGTAATGTTCTTTCACTGGTACGTAGACACTTCACTAATCTACACGCTCAGCTTTGGAAAAATCTAGTAGATTATAGACAAGCTAGGGAGGCCCTGCCTGAAATAAACAGTTGTTTAACCAAAGTTCTAATGAGACTGGACAAGCCGCAGATCAGGATAGTAACAAGTGCTATCACAGGACACGGCAACTTTAACAAGCATTTATTTACTATAGGTGTTACAGATAGTCCCCTGTGCAGGGCATGTATAGGGGTAGAAGAAACGGCGGCCCATGTGATATTGAAATGTCCGGAGGTCGCTACGTACAGGGCTAAACATCTCGGCACGCCGGGATCACTCCCCGAAGTTGCATGCAACATCAAAGGACTGTTGAGCTTCTTCGGGGAGATCTCATGGCTTGAATAAGCATATTATTCCTGCCCACACGCAAAATACGCGCATAGACGTGGAGTTGCGGAAAACAGCCCGTCGTAAACTAAACTAAACTAGGAGTTAGTAGAGCTGGACGGAGAAACCTCAAAGACTTCTGGGACAATTCAAAAGGTCTTGGTTTCGAGAAAGTATACACAATGTCGAAAAGTAGATTTCGATTCCTGTTACGATGTATCCACTTTTACGACAAAGAGCAGCCTGTCAACCAACCAACTGTTTAGCACCGATTCGTCAAATTATTGAAATTCTGGTTCGCAACTGCAAAGAATATGATACGCCAAGTGAGTCCGTTAAATTTTGATGAGCAGCTTGTAGCATTCAGAGGTTGTTGTGGTTTTATAATTTATATGCCGAACAAACCGACTGAATTCGGTATAAAAATAATTATGGTTGTAGATGCCAAGTATCTGTTTGTGGCAATTTCGAAGTCTATGCAGGTCAACAGCTAAAAAGGCAGCCTATCGCGTATCAAATCAAGTTTGGTATATTATCTACAGAGTTTTGAACCCTCTATATGGCTTGGGGTGTAACATGACAATGGACAATTGGTTCACCAGTACCTGTAAGCAAAGATTTACTGCAAAAAAAGATTACAGTAATTGGAATGCTAAAAAGGAATAATTCTGAAATACCCCAGAAATTCAAATCTACTCAGAATAGAGAAATACTAGACTCCACCTGTGATTTCTAACTTGATTGTACACTCATTAGTTACAGACCAAAGAAAAATAAAGTCGTTTTACTTCTGTCTACCCTGCACAATGATGATAAAATTGACCCCAAAAGTGGAGAAGAGAAAAAGCTTGAAATAATCACCTATATGTTTTTTTTTATAGGATCGGGTGACAAACGAGCACACAGTCCACCTCATGGTAAGTGGTTATTGTGACCCATAGACACCCACATCCATCCTCAATAAAGACTCAAGATGCAGATGCGTTGTCACCCGTGAAGACTAAGATGAAATGCCTCTTTGCCAGTAAAAAGGGTCTCCGGTTCTCTACATTCACCATACGAAACACAGCAGCATTAAGCTGCTATTTTACGCTGGTTTTCTGTGAGAGCGTGGTCCTTCCCCGGTCGAACCGACCCATTCGTGCTACAACCATAATATAGCTGCAGCATGGCTCTACCACGTAAAAACAAAAATTTGACGAAACGTTTTCCATAAAATGTGTCGTCAAATTGATGTGACATGCAATAGCCGACGCTTCTCTCTTATATTATTTTATAATTTTATGAATATGGCAGCTATAAACAGTCATGTACCAATTGAATAATCCACAAATCGATACAATCCGCCGAAAATATTTGCAAGGGATTGGAGTTGAAGTAGTAAAACCACTGATAACATGATATGTTTCTCAAGAAAATATACCTAGAGCTATAAAAATGAAAGCCAGGCTTCCCTCCCTTCTGGCGCTCCCGAATACCCGCAAGTACAAAACTTGTCCATATGCAGTGGAAAAGGAAGATGTGACTTCTGTAGTAGAGTGAGAGATCGAAGCAAATCTGACAAAATAATGTGTTCAAAAAAAAATATAAACTGAATGATCTCAATAAGCCTAAAATATGTTAATTTTTATAGAAGTTTATCTTTAGCTTATAATTTAAATACCAATAGCAAATCTTGGCTTTTGTAAAAGTATATAATTACAAATAAAGTTGATTCATAATAATATAACCTGTTTACTTTCTCCAAGTAAGAGTAATAAGATAGAAACCTATATAATAATGAGTGGCACGTGTACCCCACACGAGCACACTAGGCATTTTTGATACACTACCCGAAAGAGTGTTATGTTACAAAAGTATTACAAAAATTTTATTACTAAATACACACCTGAATTATGTCATAAAACTTATCACATTCATTTTTAAATGCAGTAGCTCTAATCTCTCCACTCTCATCGCACAAATCCATGCTGAACAGTTTACCTTCACCTTTTGCATTACTCCATGTCCTTATGGGTGACTTGCTCATTACTCTTGCTTTTATCACCCATCTATAAAAAAGAAATTACTAAGAATATTTTCTTAAAAACTATTATTTTTTATTGTGGTAACTTATTACTTACTTGTTTTGATATGGACTTAGACTTGCTATAGGATGAGTCATCTGTGACGATAGAATACTGGAATCTAGTGCTGGATTAGGTGTAGGCTTTATATTAAAAGTAGTCACTGGGTTGGGTCTAGATACAGGCTGCATGGCTGGCTGAGCAGCAGCTGCTGCTGCTGAATCCTCTGTCCATGTCTGAGGATTCCCCAGCTTTTTACCAACTTGTGTACCGGGTGCTACAATTGTGAGGTCTAATATTATCATTACTCGTCTGAAAATAATATTAATTCATAACCATTACTAGGAAAGAAAGTAAAATAAAGTTGTTACACACCACTTCAGAATAAATAACATATTATTTTGTTTAATAAAGGAAATATTTAACTTACTTTTCTCCTTTGCCAGTGTTCTTTAATAGAGAGGTAACAAAGCGATCTATTTGTACCACTGAGTAATCTGACAATTCACCAGTTATCAGTTTGTCATTCAGTTGAGTAGCAAGCATTGCAAAACTATGTGAATGTTTACCATCAGACACCAATAACCTAAACCTCTCATTGGCTCCACTTCCCTGAATTTTTTTGCTACCAAGCACTTGCATAATTGGTTTGTCATAATGACCACCATTCATAATTATCTATAAAGTTAAAAAATAAAATCAAAATGTTATAAAATTTTAACAACGCCAAAACCTTATAAATGATTTAGTTAGATCAAGTTAAAATAAAACTTTTGCTATGATTTATAAATACAAAACAGATAGTTTCTATCTTATGATATTTAGTTTTTATTACTAATTTTTAACACATACCTCTAAAGAACCTTCTGATAACTTATGTACCATAATGAGTAACAGAACCGGAAATTATGAAAAATAAAAGATTGCAGGACAATGTTGCGGTATGTTTTTCTAAAATGAACTAAACAATAGAATTATTTATTAGGAAGGGAAACACAAAAATACGCAATTCCGATCTCATCTATCAGTCAACGTCAATTTTACCGCCAAACGCCAAAGTACAAATTTTTTTTTGGAGTATATGGCCTGGTATCTAGACCTTTAGGCCAAGTCGTGAGTATTTTTATTTGGTTTATTATAATTTCCCCACTGTATTTTTGATGAATTTATATAGAGGCACGTAATAGGATCTATTTTTTAACATATCACTCAGGCGGCGGGAAAGATCTTGCACTGTCACTTTATTTTGCACTATGTCACTAATTTCACTAACAAGAATCAATCTGTCAAATGAAAAACACTCACATGTAAATATGAAATGTTCGATATCACCAATAGAATTATTGCAGAAGGTGCAGTAGCTGCTCTCCACTATGCCCAACCGAGCCAGGTGGGCCGGGACGGTGGAGTGACCAAAACGTAATCTGTTTATAGTCATAATAAAGTCCCGACTGGCCATTTTCAGTTTGTTATACCATGGTGCTACAGGCAGTTTTTCTTGAACAGTTCCATACCATTTACCCTTCTGTTCTTGATCTTGTTTCCAAAATTCGACCCATAAGCTATTGACCTGGTTGTCAGAAGATTGATAACAGTCGGTCAAAGGTACTTTTAATATGGAGCTAACATCCAACATGTTGGTTCCATCACGTGCAATTTTATCTACTATCTCATTTCCTGTTATGCCCCTATGTGATGGTATCCACATGAAAGAGACCTGTATACCCTTTTGTGCATAACTAAATAACAATTTTTTAATATTATACTAAATATAGTTTAGACTGTCTAAACTGTCTAGTAGTTTAAACTGCCTGTTAAAATTTAAAAAAAATATTAAAACTATTTATATGTGCAATCCTCTTCAGGGCCTCGAGGGCCGCATATACTTCTGCAGTGAAAACACTGCATTTAGGTTCCAGAAGAAAACTGTGACCAAGCTTGGATTGGGGATCATAAACAGCACTGCGCACAAAGAGCTCACTTTTGCTAACATCTGTATACAAAGTATAGTAGTTATTGTTGCAAAGAAAACTTAATAATTCGCAATTATTAAAAAAAATTTTGGTAACAATATTGGTCTCAAATAGAATACAGGAATATGGGTATGTGTAGCATGTACACTTTGATTGTTTAATTACATTTTTAAAATCTTCATTCCTTTGCTGTACAATGAGAGGCAGAACTGGGAAATAACCTCATAAAAGCTCACCTCCCGAAGTCTGCTGGGCCGAACATTGTACAGGAAAAGGTACTATTTTTTTGAGAACATTATCATTACCAGATACTAGCTTTAGTAAATATCTCTCTATTAGCAGAAGTCTTCTAAGACACAGTGGCGTTATTTTGGTTTCAACTTCCATAGCTCGTGTGGGAGTTGAACACACAGCCCCAGAAATAATTCGCAGAGCTTTGTTTTGAATTACGTCTAGTTTTTTTACACAACTACTATTTGAGTAGGCTAAACAACTGTAGTCGAAATGGCTTCTGACTATAGATTTATATAGCATACTTAAAACTTTGGGGTCTGCACCCCAAGTCACACCAGCTAAACATCTTATAATATTTAAGCCCTTAAGAGAGTTAGTTATATTGTGATTGATATGCAAATCAAAACAAAGTTTGTTATCAATGACAACACTCAGGAATTTATGGTTAGATACAACTGAAATTGGATGTAATTAATAGAATCAGGCGTTACTTTGCAGAAATCCATTATATAAAAACTTTCAGGAAAATTTACTTCGCAAATATCCGCGTTATAAAATAAAATGATGTGTCTTACCTTGTATGAAGAGCACCTCCAGCCCTCCCTCAATTGCGTGCACTATCCCCGTCACCACTAATCCCAGCACCGCTACTCCCAACACCACGGAGCGAGGAGCTCCTGAGCGAGGCATCTTTGTTGACCGACTGTGTAATTTGTATTTAACTTAATTTAATAGTAATTGTATTTGTTATTTGTTAATTTAATTTGTATTGTGCCGAGTAGTGTAATTTGTATTTAATTTAATTTAATAGTAATTGTATTAAGTAGTGATGCCATCGCACAAGCCACCGGCGCTTCGCCTGCAGGCGGAGCTGCGCTGGGCCGCGAATGCCCATAATTTGATAAGGCGACCCGATCGGGTCCATAGTTTAGAGAAGCGGCTCGAGCAGGTCGTGGTCCGAAGGGCCGTAGTGGAGGAGGCTTGCACTGAGCTTTTGGCCTCGGATGCGGAACAGGGAGTCCTAGACTCCTGCCTCACGGACTACGAGCAATTCTTTTCGCCCACGGACGACTTGATCGAGGCGGGGGCCAAGCATGCTAATGAAGCTCGTGAAGCTCGACTGAGTGGCCTGCCCGAGTCCCCTCGGAAGCAGCCTACTCAGCCGGAGCTGTTGGGACGACTCCCAACTCTGGACCTGCCAAGGTTCTCCGGGGTCCTCTCTGACTGGCTGACCTTTGTTGGACTTTTTGATAGCCTAATGGACGCCCGGAGGGACTTGACACCAAGCCAGAAGATGCCGTACCTCCTGGCCTAACTGGAGGGGGAGGCCCTGGGCGTCGTCGGCCATTTGAAATTGTCGGACGACGCCTACCAGACTGCCCGGGACCTCCTCGCAGGAAGGTACGCCAACGTCTGGCGAATTGCGGACTAATACGTTAGGCAGCTCCTAAACCTCCCGCTGCTTAGGGACCGGGCCAGACTAAGTCCGGACATCGTAAATCCAGTCTTGGTGGCCTGTAATTCGTTGAGGCGGCTGGATTTACCGGTGGACGAATGGTCCTTCTTGTTGCTCCACATCGTTCTGTCCCGCCTGCCTCTCGACCTTCGAATCCATTTTGAGGAGAGGTACGACGGGGAAGGCGCCTCCTATATTCCGCCCTTCAGAGACCTGCTGCGGTTCTTGGAGGAGCAGTGCCGGCAGATTGAGAACGCAGCGGGCACCGTCGACGACCTACGGGTTTTCAACAGAGCCGTGCCCAGGGAGAGGCGGAATCCGCCGGGTATGTCATCGCCAACCCCCGTAAGGCCGGGCGAAGCTCACGCGGGAGGGCGCCGCCCCCTATCATCTTATAGCGGCCTAGCGGCCAGGGAGGTGCCCCCCTGCTCTTATTGTCGAGCATCCGATTACCGGGTGACGTCGTGCCCGAAGTTGCTGGGTAAGCCGGTCCCGGTGAGGCGAACCATCGCGAAGAAACGCCGCTGATGCTACTCGTGCTTGGAAAGGCACCTCCAACGAGACTGCCCACACCAGCGGCCCTGTCCGCACTGCCAGAGCAACCACCATGCCGTTTTGTGCCTGGGTGCGAACGGCGTTTCCTCTCGGGGCTCTGCCGGGCCCTCAGCTCCCACGGGCGGGGGCGCTCAGCCACGCCCTCTGTCGGGCGACGCTCGCCGCTCGCCTGCCGACCACCATGCCCCTCGCTTTGAAGGGGGTCCCTCCCCCGACCAGTCGGGGGGGTCGATCCCCCAGGGGCGGGGGGGTCGTCGCCCCCCTCAGCGTGTTGAGATGAACTTCACGGCTGCTCAGCGGTCAGCTAGACCCTCCTCACCCCCGTTAGCTGAGCGGCCGCGACTGGAGTATCACCCTCCCCCCTTTGGTCGGTACCGGTACTGCGGGGTTCCTGCGACCTCGAATCTGTCCGGGGTCTCAAGGCCGAGGTTCCCCGAAGCTCCCACGGCCGGCCCATTTGGTGATTTCTCACCACGGGTCATTGAGATGCCGCCGGAATGCCGCTTTCGGGACCCCTGGTTCAAGTGCCGGTCCGATGGAGGCAGCCCCAGCTAGGTAGCTGCCGCCCTAGCTCCCACCACGGCCACCTCCACTGATCCTTTGAGCCGTCAACAGGCCACTTGTCAAACTGTTCTATTGCCGACGGCCTCAGTGAAGGCGTTCAACCCGAGTGGCGACGGTTTAACGGTTCGCGCTCTATTGTCTATTGGATTCGGGTTCACAACGCTGTGTGGCCTCCACTTGGTTGGTGGGAAGACTAGGGCTCCCCTGGAACTCTGAATCACGTCCAATGGTAGGTATCGGAGGTGCCGAGCCTCCTGCTCCTAGGGGACAGGCGGAGTTGGTGTTTGGCCCTGCCAGCGAACACCTTCACAATCTAGTTTAAGTAAATGTTGTCGATGACATTGTAGGTTTTCTCCCTAACGTCCGTATAAATGACAGCGCGGTTCGTTGTGTGTCGGGTTTGAGATCGGCAGACCCTCAATCAACCCAACCTGGGCCTATAGATTTGTTGCTGGGGGCCGATGCGCAGGGGTTCATCTTGTTAGGCGAGATACGAGCCCTACATCCCGATGGATTGTCAGCCATGTCCATTGTTTTGGGCCATACAAGTAAGGCAAATTTTACTTAATATTGTGTGTAAAAATAATTAAGTCGATTGACTCGTTTCTTCGTTACTTTTGGAACATCAAGCATTTTAATATTACTCATTTTAACGCACCTACTAAAATGTAATGTTATACAACTATATACAAAAAAAATTGTTAATTATTAATTAAGGAACGAATGATGGACTTTGATAATTTTTTAATGTATTTTGAATTATGTACAAAGAAAAGTCAGAAAACTAATAATTAATCTAAAGAGCATAGCCTATTTTGCAGCGGGAGTTTTGGATTTTGGCTGGCCGACGCACCATTCGGAGCGTCCTCTTTAAGTGCACATCATATGGGTGACTTATCATTCGACCGCGTCAGGGCCATCCGACCATTTGCTGGAGTCGGAACCGACTTTGCTGGCCCCTTCCTCGTCAAGTCCTCCAACCTTTGTAACGCGCGTTCACATAAGGCCTATCTGTGCGTTTTCGTGTGCCTCGCCACTAAGACCGTTCACTTAGAACTTGTAAGTGCCCTCAGCACTGAAGCCTTTGTGGCCACGCTGGGCCG